AAATGGGGAAAAGTGTTGAACAGACAAATTAAAAGTTTTTCACCGAAATGATGAAATGAAATGGAGAAAAAAAGATTTTTCATGAAATTTTTTTCTCGCCCAATGAACAAGGTAAATGAATGTTTTATGAAAACATCTTTACCATCTTTGCGCTTTAATTATAATCCAAAGCTAATTTGCCTTTATTCACCTTCTCACAGCTCAACCCTTTTCTCATCATTTTCACCCTTTTCACTGGAAAAAGGTGTAATGATGAAATGCGATTCAAATGCTTGTAACCTGTTCATCCAGGCTCATCAGAATTTCCCTTTTTTCTCTTCACACTTTTTCCACACTTTTCACCATTTTCATCATGCAAAACCCTTTTTTTGCTTGTTCAAGATAAATTGAAAGCAGATGAAATTAGTCTTGAGTGTGGAAAGGCGAAGGAAAAAGGAAAGTTGATTGATAATCATTTTCATCTATGAATATTCAGGGTAAAGGGATGACAAAAGTTCTTCATCTCACCTTTCATTAAATTCCTTTTCTTGTAACATTAATAACAATCGATAATGAAAAAAGCAAAAATCCGAAAAGTGAAATTAATCTTGCTGATGTTGACATTCCTCGGTCTTTATATCACTTTCATCCTTCATTGTATTCACTTTCATTATGAATAATTTACTCATTTCCGATTCAATCAAAGCCTTCGATATCACAACGATAACAGTTAATATCAATTTCCTGTTAATATCATTTTGCGAGTCAACATGGTCGATACGTGGAAGGCGAAAAAAGAAACTTTTTTTCTTCTCATCACCTTCGCATCTTTTCCGTTTCCCTTGAAACATTATTCCATTATCAGCCTTTTCTTCATCATGCAAAATGAATAAATGTATTCTTTTTGATTATCGTTTTTTCGGCCAAAAATTTTCATTCTCTTTTCGTGTAATGAGTTTTATCATGTTTACTTTTCTTCCTTTATCTTTTCTTCATTTACTAATCTTCTTCTTTCCCAGCTTCTTATCCATTATTACTTTAGCTTATTATCCCTGTCTCCTCCCTTTAATCATGCAGTTTCCATGATGATAATGATTCTGCTTATTCTTTTTTTTCATTTATTTTCACAATCATTTGGTGACAAGCGAAGAAGATGAGAAGAAGAAAAAATGGAAAACAAAAGCAATGTTTTCTGGCTTGGATTGTGCTCTGAAACTCTACTGAATCATGGATAATAAATGAAGATGGAATGACATGGGGATGACACCGAATCATGTTAATATACAGAAACAATAATAAAGAAGCTCCACCCTGCGCATGTAATATCTTGCAGAACTGAATAGAAAAGAGAGGGAAAAAAATTTCTCTTTATGATGATAATAATTTCTTTCTTCATCTTGTTACATGGTTGCTTCTTTCCTACTCATGATGATGCTCAGATAATAAGTGAAAGTCGCCAGAGTTTCTTATTGTTATCATTATTATTATCATCTGAAGATAGAAAAGAAGAAAATATTTTTTCCATTCTCTCGACCATTCAGGTCAACACTTTCCTTATAGATCATTATTATCATTGTGAGGATGGATTCAGAACTTCAAGTTGACCAATCAGATAACATTGGTAAAGATGAATGGAAATGATATTTACTTTTAATATTTCAATCAAAATGCTGAGAAAATTTTTAGAAATTTTTTCTTCTCTTTCCAAAAGTTTCAATTCAAGTCACAGCTCAGCAATTTTTGGAGAATCTTGAGAAAAGGAAAATTTCGATAAATTTCATAATATATATTCTGTGGTGCAAAGATGAGGTCAAAATTGATCTGTCCAATGTCCATTAAACTGATTGGTAAGACAATAAAAGTTTAATTCAAGTTAAACAAAGTAAACTGGAAATGTTAATAAATTGGTTTTTTTGCTTTACATCAAAGTTTCATCAATAATATTGATAAACATTGATATAAACTAATAAAGTAAAGTAATAAAAAGTGCTACATGACAGGTTGGAACGTTTGAATATCGTAAAAAAAAAGAAGGCGAAAAAATGAAAAGTTGATGCTGGGAGGAAAAACTCCCAACAGATTAGGTTATTTTATAATTTATAGATTATGTTTTTGTTATTAACAGTTGATGTGCACTGTAAAAGGGCAACAAGGCATGAGCATTCAAGTTGTCAAATATTGTTGAAAGGCGTTTACATGTTACATATTAATATACCTTAAATGGGAGGCAGCAAGAGTAACAAGTGAGGGAAGATGGAAAAATATGAAAAGAAGAAGAGAAAAAAATGTTGGAGGGAAAAAAAGTTCGAGTTCCGTTGAGATTGTTCCAAAGGAAATGTTATTCACTCACAGTTTTTCACTTAAGTACCTTTGCAAGGGACAAAATAATCATCACTTGAAGAAGAAAGCGTTTTCTCTTCTTCTTTTTCGTTCTTTTCTTCCCTCTACTTATTCGGATCACTTGGCATCAAATAATAGAGACACGCGCTTCTCTTCATCATCTTCTTGTCCTCCCTCATCGACTGCCTCAAGGGAACGGTTACACTGCCTTCCATTAAATTATATCAAATATGGAGATTTGCTTTTATTCACTTTATGTATTTTTCACTGGGTTACGAGTAACTAGTCGACCTTTTTGCCCTTTTTTCACTTTCGACTTTTATTCTTGTTGCTTCTTCCATTTTTGGCCCCTTAAAATATCATAATTTATTCCGTCACTGGCAGGGGTCAATTGAAAAGGGTCAAACGGAAAATTGTGTAATTCTGTTGTTGTTCAATTGAAATGTTGTATTGCAGGCGAAAAGTTGAATGCAAGTTAAGTGAGGAAAGTTAATTTTGTTAAATTATCTCGACTCGTGCCTGACTTTATTCCGACCTCTACCTTTGCCCTTCTCTTATCGTCTCATGTCAAGGGGATCAAATATTATCATCAAACATCTTCTTCATAATCATCATAATCTGTATCCATAATCTCATGTATAATGTCATTTCACCCTTAATGTGACCTTCAATATTTCAGATTCACTTTTCCTTCCCTTTCCATTATTCAACATTCATCATTTTTAGTAATTCAATCTTGCCAGTTTAACCTTTAACATTGCTATTCATTTTTTGTCATCTTTCCATCCATTCAATGTTTTGTTTCCTGTCAACTCCAGTAAATTAATCAATTTTACACCTTTTCAGATCAATCTTTTCATCTTCAATTTGCTAATTCATTCCAGATTCATTTGCAAATCAATTTCGGAATAAAATTATGAAACCGTTTCAAAAGTTGGAAAATTGCTCAAAATTTTGATTTCTTTAGTTTCATTTCAATTGCTTTTTCATTTTTCAAAACTAGCGAAGCTAAAAATTCAAGTTTTTCCCATAAACTCAAAGTTCATTTTCTATCGAATTCTAATGAAAAATCTTTTAGAATCGAAAAATCGTTTGATATTATTAAAGCTCAACTTGATTCATTGCTAATCGAAAATGAATTTCTCTTAAATCATGTTTATTTCAATGAAATTTTTGATGAAAATATTTTCTTACAGATTCGTAAAGAATCGTTGAAGATGCAAATGAAATTGCAAATTGTAAATAATTCTGTAAAAAATCGAATGGAAAATTTTCTTAAAAATTGAAAAGTTGCATTTTCACAGCATTTACAGGGAAGCGTTTCACTCGAATTGGAAACATTGAATAAAATATTTTTTACTCAAAAAGTAAATGATTTGCTGTTGAAAGCCTTGAATCTTAAGTTGACTTTTTTTCTGTTGTTTAATCATTTCATTGTATTTGATCCTGATATTTGATTAAGATTCACCGTGCTAATTGAAAAAGATTGTAATACCTTTACTCAGTTTTATTTGTTTCTTTCAAATAATCTCAATTCATCATTAACTGATTAAAAATCAAATGTTTCCATCTGATTGAGATGCAATTGAAACTTTTTTTCCCTTCTTTTCTCTCTTCTTTCCTTTCAAGAGTAAAAAAAAGTTAACAAAAAGCTTTAAGCTGACAGAGACTAAATGATAATACTGATTGCATTTGTAACAATCAATTGACAATTTATACAATCACATTTGGAAAACATTTGTTTGTGATTTTAATTGACTTTTCATCCAATCGCTTCTTCTTCTTTCGCCACTTTACAGAACTTATCATTGAACGATTAATCTGTTGCAATTGATTCATTTTAAATCTTAAACTGATGATGTAACAAGAATGATAACAAGTCACAAAAAGGTAATACATTGGATGAATTACCTTGATGAACCTGAATGATTAAGGATCTTTGATACGTTTGTGGATCAGTGATTTACTTGTGAGTAACAACAATATTTACCTTCATCAAAATGTCTTTACAATGTTTGGTTAAGATGAAGGTGAACAAGTTTAAGGTTTTGATAATGAGATGATTAAGACTGGCAATTTACAGAGTCTTCATCACGTTGATTCATTCCGCCATTTCAATGGTTGGAAAAGTCAAATAAAAATGAGTTTCCATTCAACTCCCATGAGTTAGTCTTCATTTAATGAGCAATTGAAATCAAATTGTCAACCAACATTTACAGGGCAAGTTGATGCTTTTAAGATTCATATTTTTCCTTCATTCAGCTGAGTTTCTGTTTCTTTTGTTTTTTCGTTTAACTTTTTTTTCTCTTTCAATTACATGGGAATTTTGAATTAAATAGGAATGGAATTTTGGGCAACAATTTTGGTTTTCTCTTCTCTTTACATGAAACACTCAGTTTGATGTAGACAATAGAATCGTTTATTAGTATGAGTCTGCTTTGTTTCTGATTCTGTTTCCCTTCAACATTCATTTCTCATTGAATCAGATGAAGAGGAAACTTTTGGCTTCAATTTAATTTTTTTAATTTTGTATTTACTCATGATTCAACTGGGTTTATCATGAAAGAACATGGAAAACAATGATTTTTATTGTCGCTCATTTTAACTTTTGTAAAACGCGCCAATTGTTTTTACATATTTTCCTTGTCATCTGCTCCTCCCCATTAAGTATTTCCCCCTTTCATTTAATATCTTTTGTTAATTTCAAATTGCTTCATTTATTGTTTTTTATTAATTAACCAGATTTTTTCGGGTTTCTTTTGTTTGTCTTTTTCTTCAATTTTGTGTCCTCTTTAATGTGTTTAAACTGTTACTGTCACGGTTAAGCTTTGATTGTAAAATTACTTACAATTATTTTGACTTAAACAGCTCAATCTTTTTGGTAGCATTTTTATATAATCTACCTTTTGTGAAGTGTAACCATTCGGTTAATCCGATCTAATAAGGTTTGGAAAAGGTTGAAATTTACTCAGATGTGTTACAAGACAATATTGACTATGATATACTCGAGGTAATTGGATTGGTTAACCTGACTGCTGTAATAATAGGCCTAATTATTATTGGAAATATGATGGTGATAAATGTGCATGTTGGTGGTGTAAGCAGTCATTTAAGCCACTATAGATTGTAGCTAAATGGATTTTTCAGACTGATGAGCAAATTAAGGATTTTCATGAACAGGAATCTAGATATTAACGATGATGCTAAGCATATGGATGGATATTGAAACGTGAAATAATTGCCGAGAAAAACATCAAGAGCTTAAATATAAGCTTGATATTTATCCAATGATCAAATATGCTCATAATCTCCGACAATCTTTGATTAAAGTTCCAGGAAAATATGAATCAAACGGAACCATGTTAAATTTGGTTTAAGAAAACAGGATTTGTAGGAGGATCAATTTTTTCTTTTCCAAGATTAATCAATTTCTTTGACAATTTTCTTGTCATCCTATCCATCGGCATCCATTCAAGCTTTCAACTTGTTGAATGAATACATTTTTTGGATTTCAAAGTATGGAATGGCTGAATAATAAACTTCCAGATGAGTCAGAGTAATTATCATTTACCAAGATTAGTTGAAATTGAGATGAAAATAATGGTGATGCCGAATTATTGATAACCCAAAAGAAGAAAAGCCAAAAAAGGTAATTTTTATCCTTTGAAAAGCTTAAGGTGAAATATTTGTTGTACTTTTTGTCGTTTTATTTATGTTTTTTTCTCTTCCCCTCTCCTCCTCTCTCATTCACTCACCTTTTCTTCAGGAAAATACTGGAATAATGAAACTACAGGAGATTTCGCCATTTTCAGGATCAATTTCATTATATTCTATTGTCAATTTATATAAATATATATATATTTATATTGTTGAAAGACAGAAGATGGCCAAAAAGGGAAACTAAATAGCTAATGTTGATGATAAAGATTCAAGGTAAACCAATTGGCCCTTTATCAGTTATTTTAGGTGATAAAAAGCACATTTTCTGGTTTCACATTTTTGCCCGTTAACTTGCCTTTGTTTTCTCTCTTTTTTTCCTTAATATTAGGATGTCAATGAATCTTTGGTTGCAACTTTGATACACACACAGAGACACACATTGAAAATTACTCAACTCATATTTCAAATTAAGTGTCCCATTGGAGATTATTTTATTTGACATTTTCACTCATAAAATAATAATAATACAAAATAATATAAATGTTGTCCAGTTATTGCTGATCCATTCAAGTTGGAAATTTTTTCTCTTCTCAAGGAAACCTGGTCATCTTGGCCATTTATGGACACAATCAAAATGACTTTTCTCATTAAACAATTCCCAATGAAAATGTTTCAACCCCAATTTGGTGAGATTGAAAATTTAACCACTTTAAAGTAACCTTACAAACTGGAATGGACATCAAGACGATCGCAATATTGCTCTGTTTACGATTGGAAATTTTGCAATGGAAAAAGATGATTTGATTCGGAAAATTTCAACTCATCAATTATATTGATAAATGTAAAGATCAGAGGTGCTTAACCAATTATCATGAGAAATGGTGAAACCAATACTGAGCCAAATTCAATAACTGTGAGCTGATATCAACTAAAATGGATGTAAATCAAGGAATGAAACATTTTACCTTTGTTTCTCAATATGTTGGAGATTGGCTGATGAAGATGAAGAGAAAAAGTTAACTCCAAGAAAGCAGATTAACTAAATGAATTGTGTTAATAGTTATTTTACTCAACTTTTTCACTCATTTATTTTAATGAGTAAAATGGGTTTTCATGGTAAGCTGATTGGATAAACAATTGACATGATAATAACCCTGAGCAACATGAATAATAATAATAAAGGTTTGTAATGAGACGACCAGAAAAAAAGGTTTTAGGTGAAAAAAAGTGATTGTCAAAGTGAATGGAATCAAAATTTATTTTTGGGTAAACTTTAGATTGATTGTTGAAGCTCAAAATGAATGAGCACATTGAATACAAATTCAGGATTGAAGATGAACGGACAGCAAAAAGGTGAAGAAGGAAAAGAAAAGGAGAGAAAAAAAAGAGTTAAACTTGAGGTTACTTGAAATGCATGACCAGAGGAGAAACAATTTATGTTTAACCTTAATTGAGGTGGACATTAGGATTAACAATTAACCGATGGCAAGGTAAATGAGCGAATTTGAAATTTACATAAAAAGATTGACAAGCAAAATGGCGAAGAGAAAAGACGAAGAGAAAAAAAATGTCAAAAGAGTTGATTATTGAAATGAAATAATCAAATGATGTTGATGTGAACGTGATCAAGATAATCATCTAAACCTTGATTAAGACTCGAGCTTTTTTGGTTACTTTTGTCTTCTGCTTTTTTGTATTCTGACCCTCTTCATTGTTGATTCAATTCTCAATTCTGTTGATTACTTTTCATTGGAAACATTTTCATTAATTTGAAGTTCACTGGTCAATCTACTTTAATTGACTTACCTTTTTTAAAGCAATTTTATTTACTTTTTTCATTTCAACCCTTTTTTTCACCTTTCACTCCATTCTTGATCATTTATTTCTATTCTTTCAACTGTAAACATGGAAATGAAAAATATTCAGTTGACAGATTGAAATTGAATGCTGTGAGTGAGTGAACAGCAAAATTACAGCAAAAAAACAGAGTCAAAAGATTCAAATGGTTCAGGAAAAGGTTAACAATTAGTTTGCTTGGTTCGGTTGAGATGAAAATTCAACTTTTTTTTAATTAACACTAAATATTGGAGTATTTTTCATTTCGTAATGAATTGCAAATTAACATTTAACTTTAATTTTTACCTTTCATCTTCTCCTATTTTCCCATTATCATTAGTCTTTGTTGTAGCTTCACCTTTCATCATTGCCATCTTCATCATCTTTCAGTTTCTGTTTTTTTCTTCCTCTTCTTTCGCCCATTTTCTTGTTCATCTCATGTTTGATTAGTTTGATTTAACTTGATTACATTTGATCTTTACATCTATTATTTTAATCAGTCAACATCCATGACATTCACAACTTGATGTAAGTGTCTATTTTTTGTCTTCTCTTTTTTTCTGTCTTTCTTTCTCTCTTCTTCTCTCTGTCTTTTCCTCTTCCTCATCTTCTTCTTGCTTCACCATTTTGCTTGTTGTCATGTTTCTTGTTGTACCTTTTGTATTGTATTGATGACTACTTGACTTGTTTATTTGTTGTTACCTTTTTGTCCTTACAAGAGTTGTAAGTTTCACTCAATTTAAACTTTATATTTACTTTGTTTTGTTGCCTTTTTTCATATCATTTGACACTTTTTCAGTTCAACAAAACAATACTCATTGATGTATTGTTTGTGGCCAATAAATGATCATTTTACTATATTAAAGTTTCTCTTCTCAAGGCAAATCAAAATCAAATTAGAAACATGGAAATTCAAGATTTTAAAATCATTTGAAATTCAAAAAAATTGGAAACCTGAAAACTCGAAAAAAGATTTGTCCAATTTTTCGTTGAAAAGTATTTTTTAAGCAAAGATTTTTGTTTTTTATTGAGCTTAATATGAATTTTCGAGTTTTGGATTCATTGAAGAGAATTGATTTCTGAATATTTTGTTATTGAATGTTATATGAAGTGATCTGTTCAATTGAATAAATTAATGGAATGAGTCAGGTTTAATTGAATAAAGAAAAGGATTTAAGGTTGACTTTGAATATTTTATTGGATAATAATTCTTGATAAATTTCAATATTAGGTGACAATATTGAGTTTTGTGAGTTTCAATTTGATTCAGAGAAACTCTCAAGAGGAACATAATTCTTGAATTGACTTTGACTGGACATAATTGTTGTGATGATGAAGAAGATGAAGATGATGATGATAATGATGGTAAAATGGAAGAAGAAAAAGGGATTTTTCTTGTTCTTCCAGGTTGTTGATGTTTTAAAAAAGATTTATTATAAAGGGTTGAGAGATGATGTTTATTGAAGCATAAAGAGTTGAAGCGTGTTGACCTTTGGCTATATAACAAGGTATAATCAGTGTTGGTTGTCCACTGAAAGTGAATGGACAATGTCCAGTTATAAATGGAGAAAGTGAATGTTCCGTTGTGATAATAATTCCCTGAATGCAGATGATATACTTTTTATGGATAAATTGATGGCCATTATTTAGATTGAATGTTGTAAGGGTCAAAGGCTAATAACAATAATAAATATATTAACAATAAAAATAAATGAATAACAATAATGACGATAAAGAGCAACAGTAAGAAGAGAAAATAATTTTTAGCTTTTTAAATCAACTTTGCTGGACACATTTTCCTAAGTGTTGACCAATTTCATTCTCAAAAAAAGTCTTTTCTAAAAGTGATTATCCAAGTTGACCACAAGACATCAATAAAGAGTTGATTTTACCTAATCTTTCAATTATTTATTAATTCATCAAGTCAAGGTGTTTGAAGAGTTAATCGCTGTTGAAGCAACAAGAAAGGATTAACTTCTGTTTTCCTTGCGATTACATTCAGGTTATGAAATGAAAGGATTGGGTAAAAATTTAGTTCCAGTTGAGGTCAATTTGTTGACCGGATTAACTCGCCATTGGATAACATCAATCAAAATACGGAAAAGCTTAATCTGGGAAAAGATGAGAAAAGTTAATCTTGAGAGTGTTTTATGAAAGTTATGATAAAATGAAGAGAAATGTGAAAATGAGAAAAGTTAAATTGGATAATTTGATGCGAAATAAAGTCAATTATAATAACGGAATAATCTTGTTGTTCAGTTGATTAAATAGTGTAACTCGAGTCCATCATGTTGATCATCTTTTCACTTGCTTAAACAGTATCCATTGAGAGTTGAAGTGAATCGATGAGAATAAGCAATTACAGAAATAAGAGAAAACCAGAAAAATAAGAAGATAAGGTTCATTGTTTTATCATTCATGTTATTCGGTGATAATAATAGGATGAAGATGATGCGCTAAATTTATTGATAATAATACCTTTTCAACATTAAAAGGAACCAACTTTCATGATCAACTTCATTTGCAAGTGAATAACAAATTTTTACCTTTTATCTTTATCATTGATTCACCATTTTTTATCTCTTTTTGTGCTTTCCATTTCATGGAAATGGTTTGCTGGATGAAAGATGATGTTGAACTCATTTGTCTCTTTTTACCTTCTTTTCTGATTCCTGAAAATGAAAGAAAAATTAAATTCTGTTGCTCGATTACATGATTAATTGTTACCACTAACAGTGTTTTTGAGTTTGCTTTTGGTTCACTTTGTTTTCCCTCAACTTGCATCAGACTTACCATAGTTGGCTTGATACAAGAGCTGCTTTTTTGCCTCATTTTCCTGGCCTTCTGTTTCCTATTACTTTCATCATATTGACTCTGAATGTTCATTTTTATTGTGTTCAAGGTTCAGAATTAGATTGAGAGTAATGAATGTTTGATGGACCAGAAAATGACTTTAATCGGCAAATGATGAACTTGCTCTCCAATTTTATATTCATCTTCATCTTTCCTTCCATTTTCAGTTGCCTTCAAGAGTCATTTTTCATTCCCTTTTTCAAGCCTAATATTATTGTTAAATATCATGTACAATATAAAACATCAAGATGAATAGTTTATCGCAACATGGAAAATGGAACAAGAAAAAGTGGAGAAAAAATGAAACAAAAAATCGCATCTCATTGTTGCTTCTAATGTTGCTGTTAATCTGTTCAGAATCATCATGTTCATCATATCATAAATCAACTGTAAATGCAATCTTCTAATTACTTCAACAATTATCGGTTGCAACTTTGAATTAACATTGAAATCATTGAAAAAACATTCCATCTTGATGATGAATGTTAAATGAAAAGCAATTAGATGATCATTAAGTCTTTGCTTCCTCCAAAGTTGATTGTCCATTTCAATGAATTAATCAATTTTCGGTTTTTCATTTTTCGTTTTCAATCGATTTCCAATTCTCAGCTTTTACAATTAAACTCAATCTTTAAATTGTCCAACTTTCTGATTAGATTTTTGAATGGTTTTGCTTTCGATGAACTTGCCTTTGAATGTTTCCATTTTTAATCAAATTTTGTATTAACTCGAGTGATTGAAGGATTTCAAGATCTTCTTTATCCTGTTGAGGGTCACTTTGAATCAAGTTAAGTTGGAATTTTTATGGACATTCGATGGGGAAAAGGCACTTTTGGTTGTTCGAAGCATTTTCCCATTTTCTGTTGAGTTTTCAATGTCATCACCTTTCAATTATTGAAACTCTCGACTAGTCAAAGTTGACCGCTGGTCAAAACTTTATTTCTATTGATAATTGTGATAATTCAATTTATCAGAAGAAGAAGAAGAAAAAGATGGCGAAAAATGTTCATTTTGAATTAATGATCCAAAAGTGTTTTCACTCCCTTCAAGTATCACAATGATAATGGTAATTATTATTAATGTAAAGGCCAAATATGATGGACACTTTTATTTGAAAAGTGGATAATGACATTGTTTATGATCCACGCCTTTGCCTTAGTTGCTCTCTGTGGTCAAATATAGGTCATGACATGGGGTCAATCAACCGCCCACTGTCAATTTGACCTTACTATTTTTGATGATCAACTTGAATGGCCAAAGAATCCAAAGAAGAACAAGAAAAGTGTTTCCTTAACATCGTCATATTGGTTATTGTAGAGCATTATTTGCAGGGCAACATTGGGTTACATTTATTGCTATCTAATAATACATTTTATCTGGTCATGTGCTCAAGCTGATCATGTGAATGTGAACACAGCAAGATGATTGAAAAGTGAAATAATCAAATGTTATCATCAAAGCGTATTATTATCTCTTCCATATGACTTTAATCTATCAATATCTTTCAATGTCAACTCGACAATTATTTGCGCTACATTTAGTCCAATATTTGGGTAAAGATGCGCTTTTTCACTCTTCTTTTATGCTCATTCTATTGCTTTCTACTCTTTATTATCAACATTCAATGTTCAATTTACAGCTATTTTTTGGCCTTGCAAACTAAATTTTTACCAAAATCATGAATTGATCCATGTAAAAATGTGTTTCATCTGACAAACCAAATAAATGATGTGCATATTTTAAATTGGAAACAGCAAACAGTCTAAATGATTAACTCTTGTGAGATTTATTAAAATAGAGTCAGGTTAATATTTTGACGGGCTTTTCCGTTTCAAGTGACAATCGAAATGGTTTGATCGTTTCAATTTTGGTTGAATATTTGCATTAAAGGTACTTTTGCTTTTCTAGGAACAACTTTTTTGGTAAATAAATGGTTGAAGTTTAAATCAGTCTTTCATAATTTTAGATTTCTGATTGATTCGGAAACACCAGAGGATCAAAACTCGAGGTAAAGACTACAAGTGTGATATATTAATAGCCTTTAAAAAATAAGTTTAACAGTTGCGAAAAAAATTGAGGAAAATTTCCAAATTTCAAGCCTGATTTTGATAATATAAAGTCACCATTGAGATAATTCAATACACTGAAAATAGCTTATTTTCACTATTCATCGGGCAGCGTAATTCATAATTTTCAATTTACATGGACAAGAGGTTAAATTTTTATTCCGCTAGAGGGCAGCCATTGAAATCTCAAATGTGACGTAACATTGTCATTGTAAAAGTTGATTCTTGATAGGATTAAACATCAGGTGAAACCAGTTTGATTAATCATGATTCATGATAAAAAAGAATCTCTCTGGCGGGGAATCGAACCCCGGTCTCTCACGTGACAGGCGAGGATACTAACCACTATACTACCAGAGATGATTGGATGAAGGAAAGGTATTATCGTAGCTTATATGCTTACAGTAAACCCTCTCAAATTGTCACCCTCTCTAATTGTCCCAGAGTCATGGTAACCGAGTAAACAATTGCTTTTAATTCAGTTTTTTTAATTAGGAAAATTTTGAGAGGACTCTTAATTACTATTTAATACTGTTCAATACAGGAATTATCAAATTAGAAATCAAAAACACCTACATTGAATTAATAATTAAATTTTAAAATTTAATCAAATTCGTAAAAGGGCTATTTTGCCTAATTATTATAGGAAAATAGCCAAGATGCTAATCCCACGACGTGACAATTTGAGAGGGTTTACTGTACCTACAAAATTTTCAAGATTTTCCCTTTTCTTAAAGACAACAAAAAAACAAAGATATTTTCTGGTTTTACTATTTTCTAGAATATTTCAAGTCTTATTTAATCTTTTTATTTTCATTTTGAATTCATTTTTTTCTTTACAATTGAAGATTTGATTAACTGGATAGGCGTGTTGAGTTAAACGATTTCAATTTGCACAAAATTTATGCACTTAAAATTATAATTCAATTTTATAATCGTCATTTGAACGGGTTAATCGTAAACATTTAATCTCGTAATAACAATTATTACCACCTAATTACATGATAACAGGGAAAGGATGGCAAAACTCATTGTTTACCTAACCTTTTGATTAACTTGCGACCTTTTTTTATTAAGGCAAAGATGATGGTGATGATGACGAGTGGTGGGTAAGTTAAAAAAACATCAACATTAAATTCAAATAACTCCTACTGAGAAATAATGAGAGGAAAAGATGATGATGATTGTGTGAGCAAAAGGCAAGATTAGATGAGTAAAAAAATGGTGCATCAATTTGAAAAAGGAGGGAAAAAAGTAATGAGTAAAATTTTTGAAATGTTGCTAGTTGACAGTCGATAATGACATGCAATTAGATTTGAATGGAGTAGGAAATGAGAAGATGATGATGATGATGACAAAATAAAATGAAATGAGAAACAATTTCAATAGGACTCTAGACAATACAACTCAAATAAATATCTATATGCATGTATATATTTATTAAGAGTAACTGGGAGTTGATCCAGTTAACTATTATTAAATCGTTCACTTCATCTTCATTCTGTTCATCAGGTTACCAAGGAAAATGGATTGAAAATCTCATTCCGAAGAAGAAGAAGAAGAAAAGAGAAAAGAAAAGAAGAAAAAAAATTTAATTTGATTGCAGACCAATTATATAAAATGCTATTTCATTCCCTTTATTATTATCATTAATCAAACAAAATAACGAAACTCAATGTTTAAAAGTTGAACTGAAGGTAAAGAGCGAGAAAAAAAACAGGAAAAGTTGATTAACATTTTCCTTCATTTTCATGTTCAACTCAATTCATTTTAATTTACATATATTTACAAGTTAATCAAATCTATATCAAGAGTTGCAGATAATTAATAAAGGTTTTTGGCTGGTTAAAGGTGAATCAAGTCTAAGATGCTTTTCTGGTTGAAAATTGAATTTTCACATTTTTCTGGTTTTCTCATTGATTCACTTTGATTTAATGATAATTGCTGGAAAAGGGTTCAATTGTGTTAGTCA